GAATCTTTTGGACAGGCTTTATTAAGGTCTGTGTAATCTACACAGACTCGCCACTTACCGTTCTTCTTAGGAACCACAACAGTATTAGCTAACCAGTTAGGATATTTTACCTCACGAATTGAACCAATATTTAGTAGCTTTTGAACTTCCTCTTGAATCACCTTATTTTTGAAAGTTCCTTGCTTTCTTTTCTTTTGCTTGACGGGAGGAAATGATGCATCTTCATTCAACTTATGAGTCATAACTTCCGATGGTATCCCTGTCATGTCAGAATGGGACCAAGCAAAACAGTCTGCATTAGCTTTTAAAAATTCAATCAATTTACGCTTTACCTCCGGGCTAAGATTAGCTCCTATGTACACTTTCCTCTCGGGCCAATGTATAAATAACACCACAACCTCTAGCTCTTCTATCGTTGTTTTGATATTTTCGTTCTCTTCCGGTTCTTGAATGGTGTCAGGTCTTGAATCCACATCTGTTTGCTGTTGACCAGGTGAGGGTGACTCCGTGTTACCTTTACCTAAATTCTGTAATTGCTATTTGTCTCCACCATCAACAACTGAATCTGCAACGGAATTGATGCTTCTAGATGTTTGTTGATCCCCTCTGATTTGGCATATTCCCCATGGAGATGGGAATTTAATAACTTGATGTAAGGTTGATGGGACAGCATCCATATCATGGATCCAAGGTCTCCCTATGATCATGTTATAAGCCATTTCCATATCTACTATCTGAAATTTAGTTTCTTTAACAACACCTGCAGCAAAAGTTGTTAGAACTACATCTCCTTTTGTTACTACACTTGAATTGTCGAACCCGGACAAGGTATGCGCCTTCGGTATCATTTTGTCTTCAGCTTGCATTTCACGTAATACCCTTAGTAGTATAATATTTACGGAACTTCCTGGATCAATCAAAACTCGTTTTACATTAGTGTCATGTACAAGTAAAGATATTACCAATGCATCGTTGTGGGGGGTGATCACTCCTTCTGTATCTGCATCATCAAAAGTGATACTTTCATCTTCTAAGGTTTGTCGTACTCGCTTCCCGTGTGTGATTGTTACTTTGGAAACTTTATTTGAAGCCGTATATGTTACTCCATAAATATCTTCTCCCCCACTTATAACATTCACGGTTCTCTTGGGTGATGGGGGCTTTGGTGGTTCTTGCCTATTTTTCATGTAGGCTTGCTTACCTTTCTCACTAAATAACTCAGTGAGATACCCTTGTTTCAATAGATGGTCCACTTCACTTTGCAAGAATCTACATTCTGAAGTCTTATGCCCGTGATCATTGTGAAATTCGCACCAATGATCTGGATTGCGCTTATTTGGATTTGACCGCATCTCTTTCGGCCACCGTACCTTATCTCCCATGCTCCTCAAAACAGCTACGAGCTCGGAGGTAGTGACATTGAAATTATATCCACCAAATCTTGCCTTCAAACTTCCATCATCATCTCGTGACCCGCGTGTGTTTCGATCGTTCCCAAACCTTGATGAGGAGCCTGATTCCCTGTTCCTAGGTCTGTGATCGTACCTTTGATTATCTTATCTTGACCGTGAGTCCTTTCCCGCAGGTCCCATGTATGGCTCGTACCTGTTTTTACCGGATCTCTTTTCATTTTCCACACGCCTTGAGCTTACCTTTTCTTCTGTTTTATGTCGTAAAATAATGTCTTCTTCAATCCTCATCTTTGTGCTGTATCTGTTGTAGACATCATTCCACGTTGTTGCTGGGAATTCTTGAAGGCTTTCTTTGAGTCGCCTCGTGGCTTCTGAACTCTTCTCATTTAAATTACTAGCAAAGGCTATGGCTGCCCAATTGTCAGGTACTCGTGGCAGCGTCATTCTTTCCCGTTGAAATCTATCTACGAACTCTCTAAGCAACTCTGAGTCTCCTTGCTTGATTTTGAAGATATCTTCCATTCGCTTTTCAACTTTTTGAGCTCCCGAGTGTGCTATGATAAATAAATCTGCAAGCTCAGCAAACGAATTTATAGAATTTTCAGGTAAAAGAGAATACCATGTTAGGGCTCCTTTAGTGAGTGTTTCACCGAATTTTTTGACCAAGACCAACTCAATTTCTTGCTTAGTCAAATCATTGCCCTTGACACCTGTTGTGAATGCAGTAACGTGATCTCGTGGGTCTGATGTACCATCATACTTTGGAATATCAGGCATTTTAAACTTCTTTGGAATTGGAAGGTTAGTACTAGACTTTGTAAGGTTAGTACTAGACTTTGTAAATCAGAATTAACTGGATTACCTGGGTCTCTCTCTTGTGTTTCACTAGGGGTTCCACCGGTGCCAGAATTAAACAATCCTGAACGAGGATTCTCCAAAGTGTTGTTGTTTGGAGCAGATGTAGGTGGAACAGCAGGCAATTGACGAACAAAAGCTTGGAGAGCGTTATTAACTTGAGCAGCGATAAGTTTTTGCAGAGCCTCATTCATGGTTTCAACGTTTTCAAATTGAGCCTGTCCATCCGTATAAGATCCATCAGGAGTGCCTTCACGAGATCGTCGTGGGGAGCCTCGTGGAGAACCTTGTGGAGAGCCTTGTGGGGAATCTCCCTGAAGTTGTTGGATTGTCTGAATTTCTGGGTTTCCTTGAGTGTTGTCATTGTTGTTTGACATGATTGACGCAATCAGGAAAATTAGATTGAGATATGCTTGATTATCAGATTCCCGGTAACGGAACCAATTTGTTTAACCAAAAAATAGAATTTCGGTTAAAACTAGAATTTAAGAGAAAAAATCGGGTTACTGATAATCAGGAGACGAAAAGAATAAGAAATTTTTTGTGGATAATAAATGCAGTAAATAAGTTTGTATTCCAATGTAATCACAATGATATTTCGTGTCCTTACAAATGATGAGACCTCCTCCTTTTATAGTTGTCTTTCCTAGGAAAAGGTATAACACCTTAGCCTTAAAGAGGCAATTATGAGCATTAAATGACATTAAATGAAACGTTACACAATCATTCAGAATCAATATTGATTCTCTAACGTATTTGTCATTTAATATTGAATTTAGACTCCTTTATGCCCTCAGATTCATATCTTCAATTCCTTCTGACCCACCCTCCTGACTTTAATTAAATTAAATAGATACGAGACTCGTATCTTTTGAATAGCTTCTCGTGCCTATTTAACTTTCTTCTCCTCGTATCTGATATCGCCCGTGCCTCTTGACTGACTATCCTGCTTTGACTATTTGACTGATCCACGTGTCATGCCACGTCACCTTCAATATGAATTCAGTTTTTTCCCAATACATTTAAGACCACAAGTTTCAAACGTCTTATAGCCGCACAAATATTATGACATGTTTATGGTTAAAATTTTCAAAAGTCCTAATTTGTGCCGAGTCAAACTATGTCACATAGAGTAAACCTCTTCTATGTATGATTTTCCCTCAAAGTATATTTTTGAATTAATTTATTTTCACTTGCTTATTGGATGATACAAAACCATCCTGATTATCTGAATTGAATAAAAAAAGAACTAACTGTAGCTAGATTTAACAAGAGAATTAAGAAACTTACTGCATCAGAGGGCTGAGCCAGGCCCCATATCTGTCCTCAAGTTCTTGAGGATAGTCATTATGATGGATGGTCACAAATGGTGCTACTCCTGCATTTTATGTATCTATTAATATTACCATCATTAATTATTTGCTTCTTTTTTTTTGTCAACTCTTAGTAATATAACGTGTGTTATAAAAATAAAAAGAGTTGGCAAAGAATAATGGAAGAAAGAAGAGTTCTTTGACAACTACGTACCTTTGAGTAAGAGATTATTAATGATATTATTGTAAAACTTGATTCCAGCTGGATTCACGACCCCTAACTTTCCTCCTGTCCAGAGAATATCATTAGGAAGAGTCAAAAACATATATGCTTAATTAATTTAAGTATCTCTTTGTTTAATCCCATGTGATTGTATTTAACTTTTAAAAGAAGTGAAAATAAGAGAAGAGAATGAAAAAGGAACATTTATATATATACTTGGAAGAAGTCTACTCCAGGAAATGGAGAATCGATAAGCATTTACTCCAAGAGAGGCCATTATGTCAATATCTTCCTGCCATCATTAAACAACTTAAATGACACGTATGTTCAAATGTTTCCAAAAGATGAAAAGCACTCTGTTTTACTTTATGTGTGCTACTTTTTTCGTTCAAAAAATATTGTCATCTTTCCGTATTTGTATTTGAAACATTCAAATTTTAAACTTTTCATTTTATGCTTAATAACCACATGCCACATAAAATGAAACCGAAGGATTACCAAGTAACGATGATAGTGATCGTCGGCTACATCTCCATTTCCTCCATTTGTGATACTGCCTGAACCAATTCAAGTACAAGATAGTAATTAAACGTATTAGCTAATATAAAAGGAACATATTAAAGAAACCTTAATTTATACAGACGTAAACGAAAGTGAGAGATTACACCATTGGTGTGAGAAAAAACATCCCAGTTGCTAAGACTTCTGCCCTCTTCAATATATGCTCCTTCGATCTATATTCATATACTTAGTATTAATTAAGGATGTGATATATGAGAGCAGAGACAATTAATAATTAAAGAGCAGGAAAATGAAAATCAGAGATGTGGGTACTTGATAGGCAGAAGTTGATGTTCCAAAAAGAAAACTATCTGGAAATTCTGATCTTTTAACCTCTTCTTCCAACTCGTTTCCTCCTTGGCCGATAATACTGTAGGCAGAAACTTGTTGCAATACTAAGAGGAGACAAATGAAGTAGGAGTTCTTAGTTTTGGTGCCCATCTTCATTTTATCTAAATTTCAGATAAAACTGATAGTCTATCTGACGGAGCCTAATTAAGTTGTATTTATAGGATTACTAATTAATATATAACAGGATTAAAAAAGTTCAACGTAGCTCTCATTCCTTGTTGCATATCTTAACTTTGACTTAATTTCAGGGAAAAAGAAGATTGTCTATCCGATGGCTGAGTTGTATTTTAATTATACTAATCAATAAAATTAAGGAATATTGAAGCTGCAGCTCTCACACCTAACTAATCATTAGGAAGTCAGGAAAATCACAATTCCAGTTGGCAGTTGCGGAGGATAGGGAAAACAATTCATATATATTGACATGATAGATGATAATCAATTTTTAAGCATAAAGCTATGAGAGCATCGTTCACAGTAAAACTGATAGAAGATACTCCTTTTAATTTTTCGTTTCGTGAAATTATCTATCTTTTGGATTTAAATTACATAAAGTTACGTTATTATGAAACTCAGTCGAGGAAATTTCATATTTAATATATGTGTAGTACTTAAAAAGACAACTAAAACAAGAGAACGCAACTAAAACAAGAGAACGAAAACCTTGATGACTTCGTGTTGCCCTTTTATCCGTTTATGTAAAACTGTGTTTGTGGCTGATGACTAAATAGACTTTACCTGTTCGTGACGCTTTCCATTTTATTTTTTGTGAACCCTTTGAGTACTGAATACGAAATAATAGAAAGATTTTTTTTTTTTTTAAAAAAAAAATTGTAGTAAACAAATCATGACATTTCAGTCATTACAATACCATGACATTAGGAAAAAAATTAGAAATTTAAAGTTGAATTTTTTGTAAATACAAAATAGCATTTTTAGATCAAATTGAAAATGCAATATTATTGCTTAAAATGAAATATAAGGAGTAGCAGTTTTAACGCAAAACACACCAAGGAAAGAAACCTCCTTTGCTGCACGCCCTCCAAAAGTCAAACCACGTTAATCTCAGCATACTGTTCTTTTAATCCCTCAAAATCTCGTATTGCGTTAGAAAATAAAAAAGAGGGAACAGAGGGGTATTCGGTCGTACTTGAGCTAGCTCATAGCTGGTAGCTCCCATTTAAAAACCATAGAAGTAGTCATCAAGAATCAAAAGCAGATTTAATGGCCACGACGTTTTCTAACTAATACTAGTATATTTAGTATCAAGTTCAAGTAAATTGTAATTTTATCATTAATTTCTCTTTCTCTATTGTAACGACCCGACCGGTCGTTTTGAGCATTTACACTTCGCTCGATAGTTTATGGGCATGAGTAGCTCCGTATGATGTATTATGACTTATAAGTATCGTCGGTTTCGGTTTTCAAGTTATTCGGAATCAATTTAGAAGAATGACTTTCATAGTTTAAGCTTTAAGTTGGAAGAGTTGACCAAGTTTGACTTTTTAGTATTTGACCTCGGATTGGAGTTTTGATGGTTCTATGTTCCTTGAAGGACTCGACACTAGTTGGCAAAAGTTGGAAATTTGAAGGTTTGGAAAGTTCATACGTTTGACCGAGAGTTGACTTTGATGATATCAGATTCGAATTATGGTTCTGGGAATTGGTATAGCTTCGTTATGTCATTTGGGAGTTGTGTGCAAAATTTGGGTTCATTCCGGGTTGATTTGCTGTGTTTTGGCACGAGTTATGGAAGTTGAAAAGTTCAAAGATCATTAAGTTCGATTTGAGGTGTGATTCATCGTTTCGGTGTTGTTATGCGTGATTTGAGGCCTCGAGTAGGTCCGTGTTATGTTATGGACTTGTTGGTATATTTGGACGGGGTCCCGAGTTGCCCGGGTGAGTTTCGGACGAGGTTCGGATCATTTTCATTTCATGTTGCATTGCTAAAGATTTCTGGTTCTGTCGTTTCCGCATCTGCAGAAGAATGGATGCAGATGCGGACAATTGGCCGCAGAAGGGTAGCAGGCTTGGCTGGAAATCATCGCAGATGCGGAGGAGGAGTAGCCCCTACGAGTGCGCAGAAGTGGAAATTGTTCTGCAGGTGCGAGGGATCGGGTTATTTGTTGTCGTAGAAGCGAAACAGTTACCATAGATGCGGTGGTCACAGATGCGACGATTTATCTGCAAATGCGAAAATCGCTGGGCAGATGCTACAAAAATTGAGGTTTTGATTCTTTCATGATATTTTGAGATTGGGGGCTCGGATTGAGACGATTTTTGGAGCAATTCTCATCACAAGGATTGGGGTAAGTATTCTACATTTGGTTTTGATTTTTTTTCCATGAATCTACCTTCATTTCTGGCAAATGGTTGATGAATTTTAAAGAGAATTTGGGAGTTTTGGCCTAATATTTCATAGAGTGAATTTTTAAGTTTTGAATATCTAATCGGTGTCGGATTTGAGTGAAACTAATATGGTTGGACTAGTAATTGAATGGGTTGCCGAATTTTGTGAGTTTTGTCGGGTTCTGAGGTACGGGCCCGGGTTAGACTTTTTTGTCGATTTTGGGCTTTTGATTAAGAATTCGACCTTTATCAATTGGGTTTGTTCCCTTTGGCATTATTTGATGTATTTGAGTTTCTTTTGGCTAGTTTTGAGCCGTTCAGAGGTCGGTATGCGCGAGATGGCATTTGTGGAGCATCATTAGGCTTGCACGGTATTGGATTTGGCTTGTTCGAGGTAAGTAACACTTCTAAATTTGATGCTGAGGGTATGAAACCACGAATTACGTGTTATGTATTTTGGTATTGAGGTGATGCACATGCTAGGTGACGGGCGTGTAGGCATACACCGTGTGAATCGTGACTTTGTTATTTCTGTGGTACTGCGTAGTTATCTGATCTTATCTGTAACCATGAAATCTCTACATACTAAAGTAATTGAGCTGTCAATCAAGCTACAGATCATGTTTAGGCTATATGCTGGTACTGCTGGGACCCATAATGGTCGTTCCTTGCAATTGACTTATTGATTTCATTGACATTTCGTACTCAATCATATTTATTCATTACATATCATATCTCAGTCTCTGTTATTATTTATTGATATATCATATCGTCATTTTCAGGCTAGTTTTATAACAGTGTGAGCCTGTGAGACAGAGACTGGAGAGATTTATGACTGAGTGAGGCCAAGGGCCTGATTGTGAGAATATTGATACTATAGCACATGAGTTGTCCGTGTAGCATATGAGTTGTTCGTGCGGATTCTAATATTGATACTACAACACGTGAGTTGTACGTGCTGATTATAGCGCTTGGGCAGAAGGAGACCCTCTAGAGTCTGCACACACCCCTGGTGAGCACGGTTGATTTATATTGAGGGATGGATCTTCCCTGGTCATGGATCTTGTTCGAAGAATTTATATTTGAGGATGGATTTTCCCCGGGATGGATTGGCCTTATACAGTACTGAGTGACTTACCGGCAGTTACTATGTATATATTCGGGATGGATCCTCCCTGGGCTGGATTGGCAATATACGATACTAGGTGACTGAGCATGTCGAGTCATTGAGCATGATGAGTGGAAAGTGTGAGATAGAGAGATTGAGTACTCTGAGAGTGTGAGTACATGAGTTCATCTCTCAGATACATTGCATTGACATGCACACTGATATACAGGTAGCCTTAGATTCATAATCTGTTTATGTACATTTCGAGCAGATGATGTATTTATTTCATACCAACTTTGTAAACTTTACTGTTAGAAGCTCATGATTTGTACTACCCGTCATTGGGGAATGTATACGATTAAGATATTTCTTTACTTAATTGTTTTATTGAATGGTATTGGAACTAGTTAGTTGTTAAATTGGCTTACCTAGCGGTTTGGGCTAGGTGCCATCACAACTAGTTGGATTTTTGGTCGTGACAAGTTGGTATCAGAGCTCTAGGTTCATAGGTTCTACAAGTCATAAGCAAGTGTCTAGTAGAGTCTTACAGATTGGTATGATGACGTCCATACCTATCTTCGAGAGGATACAAGGCATTTATGATAAACTCCACATCTTCCTTTCCTTATCGTGCGACATTGATTCAGCTTGAAGTGTAACTCTTTGAATTCCTTCCACGCATTCGTATGCTAATGTGAGCGCTCAGTATTAGCTGTGAATAGCTGGCTTGTGATTCCATAGATGAGGCGCGAGATGTGATTTCGGTGTGCTGATGATGGGCCATTCTGGAGGACATGAGGCCGTTTTCGATTGTAGCTCGAGAATGGGGATTTCGGTTGTGTGAGCACGTGCTTTTGGACTTATACGTATGGTAGTGTCACTATAAGTGGAATTCGTTGCTGGATAGCTATGTGATGAATATGATGTGACTGTGAGATGTGTTCATATGGTTTGAATGTGACAAGCAGAGTTTGCTTGAGATGTAAAAAGGACTATTGGGTGTTTGATTTCTATATTGATTTGACGTACTGGCGCGATTTATGGGTGTGTTCAGGAATCTTTCATGTTGGTTAATTATGGAAAGGATTAGATTCTCATGTCTTGTTGATGAGTTCAGAATCAGGAATATTAAGTGATTGCGTAGTAGTTGTGACTGTGGAAAGGTATAGAGAGATGTCAGTTTGAGGCAAAGCAGGTGGGTTATCTCCTGCGGGGTGTCTTGAGGTTGTGTGATCCCTATGTTGTTTTGTAGAGAGTTCTCTTTTAACAGTGAATTGTATTTGTTGCAATTTGAGTTGGATCGCTTGTGGAAGTTGGCTTGACTATTACAAGGGTGAATGCAAGATTTGTAGATAATTGGAAGTATTAGATGGTTTATGTTACAGGAGCTCACGAAGGATTTAGTTGAATCTCACTGCGTGTCACGAGCCAGAATTCCCACCGTTGGGACCATGATGGCACCTAACATTTCACTTGCTAGGCAAGTCAACGTTAGAACAGTACATCCATTTTTTTAACAGTTTAGATTAAATAAAGAGAAAAAACTGAAATAACTACAGAAATCCAAAATAAAATGTGGAAGCTAAAATAGCCAAACGTCTACTAAAATCCGTGGACCAGGTGTCACAAGTGCACGAGCTACTAGAATAGTACATACAAGGGTCTG